GGGGGGGGGAGGCACCGTGGCGGGCCCCACGTGTGCGCGGGAAGGGGAAGAGGTGTCCTCGCGGTCGCAGAGCGGACGGACGCAGCCAGGACCCTGTGAGTGTGCGCGCCATGTACGTCGCCGCGCGCCGGAAGTTTGCGAGTGTGTGTGTGTGTGTGTATGTGTGAGTGAGAGGGCGCCAGGCCAGGATAGCTTTTGGGTTGCGGCCCCGCGTTGGTTCGAGCGAGAGGGTCACCGCGTGCCTGTAGTATTGGCGTGCCGTGCGCGTTGGCCGGGGAGCGGGCAAGCCTCCTGTGTGTCCCGCTGGCGTGCTGGTGCTGGTGTGGGCGGGCCGGGCCGGGGCATGCTGGCCGCGCCGATGTGCAACCCGATACAGAACGCCACAGACTGCGGCCGGCCCGGCCAGGCACATGCAAGGCCTTCAATCAGACCGTCAGTTTGCGTTACCTGGGGACGGTGTTTTGAGTTCTGCCCCCCGCCCTCACCCCTTCCCCCACCCGAGGCCTCACGCCAAACGATTGGTGGACGACGCGGTATGGGCTTTCCGAGCCAAACATACGCGCGTGTGCGGGCTGCAGGAGAGAGAGTGACAGAGCGTCAGCGTCAGTCCTGGGCCGAACCCCATGGATAAACAATAACAGCGGCAGCAACAGGCTCAACGCGAGAAGCTTTGCATTAGCATCCAAACATCACTGGTAAAAAGTGAAAAGGGCGTAAGTCCAATGGGACGTCCGAGGACTTGGGCCCTTTCCACTTTTCACCAGTGACACGACAAGCCGTCAGCCTGATGCGCGGAAAACACCTCGACTTATCAACGCCAAGCTGCACGCCGGGCTGCCGCTGCGGGTTGGGCCAGGGCGGCGGCGGCGACCTTCTGGTGGTCGCTGGGTGGCTCCGGTTGGTCCCCGCGCCGGCCCGGCGGTGGCCGCGGTGTCGCTGCCGCTGGCGATGATCGTCCCACATTTGTCCCCTTCAAGCCGCCCCCGGCCGCGTGTGGCTCGTCATCATTCCCAGTGCGAAACTGCAATTACGGGCGTCAGACTGGCGGGCCGGGCCGGGCTCCGCACCGCCATGCCGCCATGCCAATTTCTATTTTTTTTCCCCGCACCGGTGGTAATCACCGAAATCTCTGCGGTTTGCCCGCCCAGCAGAGCGGGCCAGCCATTTTCATGTTTCAAATTCCTCTCGTCACATACGTACTCACACTCGACTCTTTAGTTGTTTCCGCGCGCCTCGCGCTCCACTTTCAGCGCATTTTCAACACGTTAAGCGTGATTTGTCAGAGACGCGAGTGGACCAACATGGTGGGAAATGATTGCCTTGCGCATCAGTGCAGGACCCCAAAAAACAAATGTTAAATGCACACACACACACAAGTGTTAAAACATATAGCGTGGACCCGACACGTTATAAAATGGGAAGGCTTTGTCGCTTGCGGCTCCAGAAAGGCTGCGCGTCGTCGGCCCTCGCCGGGCTGCCGTGCGCTCGGTGAAGGTACCTTATCGGCCGCGCTCGTTGCGCAAGGCGCTGCCCCCGGCCGCCCCCGGGCCGCCCCCGCCCGGCGCGGGCCCGGCGCGGTCCAGCGGCGCTCCGCCCTGACCTTTGAAGCGAGGTAAACCTGTGGGGTAGGCAGCGCGTGGCGGGGCTGCCTACCCCACAGGCGCTCCCGCGCTCCCTCCGACACACCTCCCGCTCCTACCTCACGCTCCCTCCGATCCTCACTTCACTTCACTTTAATACCGTAGGGTTCCACCCTCTCTCCCCGCTCCCTCCGATCCCCCGACTCCTTCCGATCCTCCAGCTCCCTCCGCTCCTCCCGGCTCCTCCCGCTTCCACTGCTCCCTCCACTGGCACTGGCATCGCTCTCTGGCCCGGGCCGCGCTAAAATCGGCGGCTCACTCAATATTTACGCGGTTTAAAATGTGTACATTTGCCGGTCACGTTGTGCATGTAAGAGGAGGCTATATACTCATACACTCCACCGGTATCTATCGCCGTGGGGATTCCCGCGCGAAGGGGCAGCCGCACGGGATCAACAAAAACAAATCAACAAGCACGAAGTGCGAAAGCGGCGGCAGCGGATCCCCCGTACCGTCCAATAAGGATCATGATCGGGGGACTGATGGCTGGCGATGACGGCGACTCCCTGCTGCTCAGATCCTGAAGAACACGTGATGCTGACAGCCGCCCCCCCCACCCACTCCGCCTTCCTCCCCGGCCCTGTCCTTGAACTTCTTGCTACATGCCCGGACCCGGGCCGCGGCCGCGGCACCTTCTGCGTCGGCCAAA